AACTTGTCATAAAGATGTTCATTGGCACCACATATAACTGTAGAAGAGCAATTCATGGATAAATTATACCAATGAAGATGTAGAAACAGCAAATAGAACTAAACAGAAATAATTCTGGAATAAAAAATATAATAATTGAACTGAAAATTATGTTGTTTTTAAGCAAGGATGGGGCTAAGGGATTGGGAGCAAGAGGTAGAGAATTGGTTAGTTAAAACTACAAATATATGAGGAAGTCTTATGGGAACACAAAAATTCGTAAGTTAATTTGAAATTGATACTTTTAGAAAGTAGTTTGAATGAAGTTACTCTGCATAGCTAGACAGTGCTGCTCCCAGAAGACAAGGATTATTAAACTATTATCTCAGTACCAGGCATGGGATACCCTACAAGCTACTGGTCAGATGTCCCCAAAACAATACAAGCTATTGCCATTGTTCTTGATTGTTCACAATTACTAATAGGCAAGTCCCTAAGCTGAAGATACCACATGGTTTTAGAACACAAATATACCAGTCTAGAACAGACCAGGAAATGTCCAAGTTGCTGGCCAACTTTCATAATGCTGGAAAGTTCTGTTCAGGCTACTGAGGGAGAAGCCATCAATGGTCTTGCCCTACAACACCAATTAGCCATACAAGATGACCACGGGTGCAATGCTGGTATGAAGGTTACAGAGTTAAAAAACTGATTTCCTATTGGATTTGAGGTCTTCTACTCCACAGGAGAGAATCCATGCCTGGTTCTGTAAATGTATTAAAACCCATGGCTCTGGTGATCTTAGGCCCAAGGAAGAACCTATTGTTCTTTTGGTGAATGGTCATGTTGTCATACTACCTTCTAAAATTTATGTTTATCCCCATAGACTAATGATGCTCTCCACCTTTGTCAGTGAGGCTTTTATTTTCCCCTTTGAATGAGCAATGATCAATGCAGTATGAGTGTAATTGCTCAATGTCCTGAGAATAAGACATAACTTCATTCCTTTGTAGCATGAATCTACATTTTAAAAGGTACTACTTGTTTTAAATAGGATAAGAAATGAAAAATTTTTTTGTCTGAATTTGTCAAATGTTACTGGACTGAACATTGTATATATATATATATATATATTGGAGGTTTTCATCTGAATCTGTCAAATGTTAATGGATTAGACATCATTAATATAATTCTTGACTGTATATATTGTATATACTTACCGGATATAGTTTTTCTTGTATTAGTTATAAGCTTTTTCTAATTTTAGACAAAAAACGGGAAATGTGGTGGTATTGTTATTCCCCAAAATATTGTGCACCCTAATAAACTTATTTGGGGTCAGAGAACAGAATAGCAACTAGATATAGAGGCCAGAAAATGGTGGCACTCACGCCTTTAATCCTAGCATTCCAGAGGCAGAAATCCCTCTGGATCTCTGTGAGTTCAAGGTCACATTGGAAACAGCCAGCCATGGTGACTCATGCCTTTAATCCCAGGCAGTGATGACAGAAAGCAAAAAGGTATATAAGGCTTGAAGACCAGAAACTAGAAGCTTTTGGCCTGGTTAATCTTTTAGGCTTTTGAGCAACAGTTCAGCTGAGATTCATTCTGGGTGAGGACTCAGAGGTTACCAGTCTAAGGAAACAGGATCAGCTGAGGAACTGGTGAGGTGAGGTAGCTATGGCTTGTTCTGCTTCTCTGATCTTCCAGCACTCACCCCAATACCTGGCTCAGGTTTGATTTTATTAATAAGAACTTTTAAGATTCATGCTACAGAAGTCAATTATAAATATGAGAGATTTATATAGTGAAAATGGTAAAACATTGTTGAATGAAAGTAAGCAGACACTAACTAATGAAATCTTGAGTTAATAGGCTGAATGAAAATATTGTTGAGACTATCATATTATACAAAGTATCTAGAGTTTCAAAGCAATCCTTATCAAAATCTTAATAAAATGTTCACAGAAATAGAAAAATTTATCCTGAAATCTAAACATATTCTCAGAGGATTTTAAACACTAAAAACAGACTCAGAAGACACATGCTGCCTGATTTGAAAACATATTAATAATCTATTGTAATCAGAATAATGTAGTATTGGCATAGACACAAACAGACCAAAGGAAAGGACCACAGAACAGAGAACATGAATAAAATGTTGTGTGTATGTTCAAATTATCTTAACAACTGATGCAACTGTGGAAAATCATCCCTTCAATAAATAATGTTTAGAAAACTGAAAATCCACATACAAAGAATGAAGTATGATTCTCATATTATACTCTTATATGAAAAATTATCCCAAATGGATTAAACAGCTAAACACAAAACCTAAAATTATAAAACCCCTATAAGAAAAGATGGAGAGAAATACCCATGACATTACACTTGGTAATGGTTTGTAACAACCAAAACAAAATAGACCACGTGAATCTAGGGAGTTTTTATAATGAAGGTTACAGTTGACAAGGTAAAAGGAGTATGACTATGACAGTTTGAATAAGAATGGACCACATATATTTGAGTGCTTAGCCCCTAGTTGGTAGAACTGTTTGAGAAGGATTAGGAGGTGTGTCCTTATTGGATGAGATATGTCACTAGTCATGAGCTTTGAGATTTTAAAAGCCCACACCATTCCCAGTCAGTTCTTCCTCTGCCTCCAATTTGTGGATCAGGATGTAAGCTCTTAGCTACTGCTCCATCACCATGCTGCCTGCCAACTGCCATGCTTTCCACCATGATGACTATGGACTAAGCCTCTGGAACCATGAAGCCCAATAAATGTTTTCTTTTAAAAATTGCTTTTGTCATAGTGTCTCTTCACAGCAATAGAAAAGTAACTAAGACAGAAGTCAGTGCCAGCAAGTGGGATGTTGCTGTGACAGGCCTGACCATGCTCTGTTTTGGAACAATGTGGAAGACTTTGGGAGTTTGCACCATGAAAGTGGTTGAATGCTATAAGCAGGCTTAATGGGTCATCCCAGTAGGAGCTTGGAAGACAGGAGTGGTGAGAGCAATAGGACAATGGAGGCAGCTCAAGAGGATTCAAGGGGACAACATCAGCAACTGAACTTAAAGACTACAGTTGTGATATTTTGACAAAGAATGTGGCTACTTTTTACCCTTGTCCTAAGACACTTCCTAAGCCTCAATGGAAGAGTTTTGAACTAACTTCATCAGCGGAGGAGATTTCAAAAGAATCTGAAATCTCTACATAACGCTGATTACTGTTATGTAGAACTACAGTGAAAAAAATGTAAGCAGGGCAAAAAGAAATACAGAATGTACAGTTTGAAGAGAGAAAGAGTACAAGGAGATGTAATGTTGGAGCTGAGGTTTGAGCTGAGGACATAGGAGAAACGGAATACTGGGTATGAAGCCCTCAGGGCAAACCCTCACCCAGCTAATCTTGCAACTTTTGAAAAGGACTAAGGAATTATCTGTTCCAAAAGAGCAACAACAAATCAAAGTTTGTGTGAATGTAACTCAAGGAAGGGGCCAGTTTCCATCCCAAACAAGCAGTAGAACTTGGCAGTGTTGGCCACATGATTCTGGCTTTAGAGTCATGGAGAACACGGAGCTAAAGGATTTGTGGATTCTTCCTTCATGGGTATAGAGAGCCTCTGAGGCCAATTGTGTGGCAGAGAAGGCCCAGAGGCACCATTCTATGAAACTGTGGAAATGAAGCTTGGATTTCATTGGAAACTCTAAGATATTGGAGATGCCAGAGTTATGGAATAGCTACCAAGGAGAGCTCTAGATAGGGAATGGAATCAGCCCAAGATGAAGAAGTATGTTTCAATGAGCAAAACTGGAAGGGTGGAGCCACTGGGATTTGGCACCCAATGTAGAGCTACAGGATTTGGAGTTTGCTCTGCTGGGTTACAATTTTGCTTTGATCTATTATTTCCGAACTGTGCCCCTTTGCTCCCTTTTGGAAAGGTAATGTGTATTTGTGCCATTGAATCTTGAGAGTATGTAATTTGGTTTTTTATTTTACAGAGGATTACTATTAAGAGATTGCCCTGTGTCTCAGAAGAGATTTTGGACTTTGAACTTTTAAACAGTCTTGAGACTGAAAGATTATGGAGACTTCTGAAGTTTAATTAAATGCATTGTGTTTTATGGTATAGCCAGAAACCTATGGGGGCCATGGAGTAGAATGTGGTGGTTTGAATGAGAATGGCCCACATAGGCTCATATGTTTGAATGCTTGGTCCCCAGAGACTTGTTTGAGAATGAGTAAAAGTTGAGATCTTGATGGAGGAAGTGTGTCACTTACAGATTTCAAGAGCCCACTCCATTCCTAATTACTTCTGTTTCTGCCTCCTTGTGGATCAGGATGTAAGCTTTTAACTACCTATCCAGATCATGCCCACCTGCCAGCTGCCTTGTTCCCCATGATGATCATGGACTTTAAGAATCTGGAACTGTGAGTCCCAATAAATATTTTCTTTTCTAGGTGGCAAGATATCAGTAATGATCATGAGCATTAAAATAAAACCACATCCAGAAAAGACTCCTGGTTTCTAGTTCTGCATGAAGGAGCTCAGATGTTTCCAGTTCATCCTCACACAAACACCAACGTGAACCAGCTGGAAACAAAACAGCTCTTCTAGGCTGTGCAAGAGATGTGAGGACATAAGACAAAGACATACTCCGCTCAACGCTGAAGAGACAGAGGAGGGTGTTAGGATCCAGCCCTCACTCCTGCACATGTGCAGCTTGGGGTCTTGTGTCTTGCATCTTACATCATCAGTGGGAGCAGGAGACCATGTACCCGCCTTAAAAAGCTGGACACAGACCCCGCCCTCTCTCTCTCTCCCCTCTCTCTGTTCCCTCTCTGCTCCCTGCTCTCTGCTCTGCCATCTTTCTTTCTCTCCAGGCCTGGCTCTCCTCCCTCCTATCCCCTCCTTTGTAGCATGAATCTTAAAATGTCTTATTAATAAAAACAAACCCAGAGCCAGGTATTGGGGTGAATGCTGGAAGATCAGAGAAGCAGAACAAGCCACAGCTACCTCATCTCACCAATTCCTCAGTTGATTCTGTTTCCTCAGACTGGAAGCCTCTGAGTCCTCATCCAAATGGATCTCAGCTGAACTGCACTGCTCAAAGCCTAAAAAGCTTAACCAGCCAAAAGCTTCTAGTTTCTGGTCTTCATGCCTTATATACCTTTCTGCTTTCTGCCATCACTCTCTGGGATTAAAGGTGTGAATCACCATGCTTTGCTGTATCCTTGAGCACATAGAGATCCAGGTAGATCTCTGCCTCTGGAATGCTAGGATTAAAGGCATGTGCTACCACTGCCTATCCTCTATGTTTAATATTGTGGCTCTTCTGTTCTCTGACCCCAGATAAGTTGATTAGCGTGCACAATATTTCAGGAAACACAATACCACTACACTCCTTCTTTCTAATAAAGCTCTTTGTAACTCTGGTAGTCGTGGCCATGGCCTGTGACTTTTCCAGCAGGAACCAATGCCACCACCAGTGCCATTTATCATAACCATTAGAGGGAGGGCAGGAAGCCATGTTTCATGGGAGCTCAGTTCAGCACTACACTCCCATCAAGGTGCTACAACATATTTGATCACACTGTGAACTCTGAGATTGCATTAATTAAATAAAATCAACCTTGGGTCAAAAGGCAGAGCTAGCAACTAGTGGACAGTAAGTAGCCATAGAGAGTTAGAGGGAGTCAGGAAAACCAGCAGAGAAATGCACAAGACATACTGAAGAGGGGCTTTGAGTCTGGCAGCCTTTTTGGTTTGGGATGGTGGGAGGGAAGGTCTCTTGCTGAGATGCTGGCTAAGGAGGAAGGTCAGCTGGTGGCTCACCAGCCTCTCTGAGCTAGCAAATTTTTGCCCCAGCATCTAACTCCTAAGTCTTTATTGGTAAAATCATAGGCTTGAGATTTAGTTTAAAATAACACCATGGGAGCTGAGACAGAACCAAAAAACTTAATCTGTAATTAACAAAGTACTGAGGACTCAGTATGGTTAACTTGATAGTTATAAACACCAGCAAGAGCCACTCAGAAGGCATCCACATCTGTGAGATAGGCCTCCAGAAACTTGAACAGGTCCTCACAGTAAATATTATAAAACAAGCCCTTTAATATCATAGTAGGGGCGATTTAAGAAACAATTTTTAAAATACATGGCTGATCTCTCAGCTTTTAACAGAATTTTTCTCTAAAACAACAACAATAAAACCCTAGGAACACAGAATCTAAGAACAGGAGATTTATTACAGCCCACCTGACCAGGTGACAGAAGATACACACTCTAGTCAGCTCACCTTTCCTCACAGAGAAGGAATAGTCAACTTGAGTCCATTCTAGCCTCCTGTGTGGAAGGGAAAGGCCCAACTTCAGCTGCTCTATCTAGCCATACCCTCCCACATAAAATGTGAGGGAATAACTGAAGAAACACCGGGGAATTTATGGTCAGAGCACAAGACCACCAACACCCTGAAACCTTATTACTCACCAGCATGCTAAAGGTCTAATTTTGCATTTTCTTTACGGGGAGCATTGTGTCTGGTTTTATAGGAAAAAAAAATCACAAGGGACTGCACCATGCTAAACATATGACTGGAAGATCAAGAACAACCTTCAGAACAAGACATGCCAGGGGTTGGGGCATTAAAACCAATGAGACATCACCTCCTACCCATTGGATGACTACCCTAAGAAAGCAGTTTCCCCCACTAAGAAAATGAAGGAATGTTAAGTGTGGGTGACAATGTGGGGAAATTGAAGCCATTATTCATTGCGGGGGAGAAAAGCAAGAAAGTGCCGCTGCTGTGGCAACTGTGGTAAGCACTCAAAAAAGGAAGGAAGGAAGGAAGGAAGGAAGGAAGGAAGGAAGGAAGGAAGGAAGGAAGGATGGATGGAAGGAAATAGTTTAAAATGGTACCTACCTACTGCCAGGCAATGGTGATACACTCCTTTAATTCCAGAACTCATGAGGCAAAGGCAGGCAGATCTCTGTGAATTTGAGGCCAGCCTGGTCTACAGAGCTAGTTCTAGACCAGACAAGGATACACAAAGATAAATTCTTCTCAAAACTAAACAACAAAAACAAAAAAAAACTAACCAAACAAACAAAATAGTACCTACAACTTGATTTCTGGATATATGAATACAAATATTGAAACTGGGGTCTCTGTTATATCCACACCAGAATTAATCTTGAAATTGGATCCCATGAAATAGTAATAAGAGCTGAAAAAGCCTTTATGAAGGAATCCACTACAGACGTTTTGCCAAATATACATAAAGATACATAAAATACTTTCAAAATATTTATTTTAATCTTTGTAGAAGAGTCACCTGTCAACCTTGGTCAGACAAGTCTCTTTCAGAAACAGATGTTGGGACTCACAGATGGTCAAATACTGAGAATAAGTAACTGCTCAGCCTCAAAAAAGACGTCTATGTCACCTGCTTCAACACGCAGAGAATGGTGTGAAATAGGGATAGAGGGACAGACTGTAGGAGCGGACAGATAGGAAGGAGTGAGGTGGGATGCTGTCTTCTGGACATATCATGGCCATTGTGAACACACAAGCTTGCAAGGAAACCTGGGGGCAGGGGAGGAAGGAAGGAAAAGAAGAAAGGAAGTGAGGAAGGAAATAAAGGAGGAAGAGGAGAGAGGGAAATAAAGGTAGATAGAGGACAGACTGAGAAGAACAAGGGGTCAGTGGGAGTAGAAAGGGATGTGAAAAGAGAGTAGAAGGTGAATGTGATCACAACACCTTTTATGCAAGCATACAGATATTTATGTTGGATAGTTTTATGTCACCTTGACACACAAGCTAAAGTCATCTGAGAGGAGGGAACCTCAATTAAGAAAACGAATCTATAAGATCAGCTGTAGGGAATTTTCTTAATTAGTGATTGGTGGGGGAGGGTAGAGGCCATTGTGGATGGTCCCATGCCTGGGCTGGTGGTCCTGGGCTCTGCAAGAGACCAGGCTAAGCAAACCATGAGCAACAAGTGAATAACCAGCACCCTTCCATGGCTTCTGCAACAGCTTCTGCCTCCAGGTTCCTGTCCTGTTTGAGTTCCTATCCTGACTTCCTTTGATGATGAATAGTGATATGGAAGTGTAAGTGAAATAAACCCTTTCCTCCCTAAGTTGCTTCGGCCATGGTGTTTCATTACAGTGATAGTAACCCCAAATTTAAGAAGAAATGAAGCCTTTGGGGAAGTGATTCAGTCATGACTCACAAATGGATCAGCACTTTATATAAGGGTTGAAGCAACTTCAGGATTTTTTTTTTTTTTTTGTCATTTTACTGAGTCCTGCTGAGTGGGAACAGAGCATTCATCCCTCTGCCTTTACATCCCCTTCTACCATGTAAAGTGGCAGCAAGAAAGTCCTCACTAGACACCAGAGGCCAGGAAGGTAATGTCTGTGCTTTTATACTGTAGTCCCACACCACTGTCCAAGGTAGAATGCTCACAAAGCCAAAATATGGAAGGAGCCCAAGTGTTCAACAGGAGATGGTTGGATAAATTTCATGCATAGGAACTGGAGAGATGGCTCAGTGATTCAGAGCACAAGCGGCTCTTCCAGAGGACTTGGGATTGATTACCAGCACACACATAGCAACTCACAACCATCTGTAACCATAGTTCCAGGGGGTCTGATGCCCTCTTCTGGCCTCCATGGGCACCAGACACCCAAGTGATGTATGGACACACATGCAGACAAAATTGTCATTAAAAAAAAAAAATGTTTGATTTATGTGTGTGGATTTCTTTCCAGTCCCCCTCCACCTCCATGTCTCTCCCTTCCAGCCCCTCCTTCTCCTTCCCTTCTTTCCTGTTTCCTTCCCTCTTTCCTTCTGCCTGTCATATGAGAACCCTAACCACTTTTATGTTTTCCTATCTTTATATCCTTTTCTTTAATGTGATAATAATTTCAGTTGTGTTTTGTCTTTATTGGTCGTATGCTAAAATTTCACTATCAAGAACCATCTGTAGCCCTGGTGGAAAACTTATAGTTTCTGTCATTGTATAGGATGTCATGCCCTCTCCTGAGATAGTTTTAACTATATATTTGTTAGAATGAAAAACATAGGTCTCCCCTAAAAGGGGTGAGAGATAGTTTATTCTGGAGCCAAACATGAATGTCCATGGCCCAGTAGCACATTCAAGTTACCCCAAACTCCGTGATCCGAAGTTTTTATACTAACAGAACAAAGAATGCCACAAATCAAGATACATTTCAAATATGGTGGAAACTTCAGATGGGCAGGTTACAGCAATATGGGGAAACCTCTGCTATAGGTCTCACATGCTACCTGGTGACATTCTTCAGGTTTTGGTCAGTGGAAGCTAGGAGTCTAACACTTTCCAAACATGCTTCACCTGTCAGCTACAAGTAAGACAAGTCAGACACAGAGGCGGGCAGTGAGTGGATATCACTTTAAAGATAAATTGTAGTGGGGCTCTGGACCTGCAATATCCCACCTCTCCACTATCACTGAAGTTCTAATCAGACAGTCAGGGTTTGTAGGAGGTTCAAAGTGCTGTGTAAGTTTCATTGCACAGTATTTAGTAAGTTCTTTACAAGAAGTGATGACTTCACTAACACATGAGTCTGAGACCTGGACAGGATAAGAACATGACTTGCTCACTGACTCCCCAGAGAGGAAACACATGAGACTTTTATTTCTAGCCATTGGGGTGGCTGTGATTAAGTCTGAATCATGTCTGATGTTTCCACTGGTCTCAACTCTCTTGTTCCTTATACAGAAAATAAAGAACTTCATTGAGCTGTGGGGGTGCCATGGATTGCTCAGACTTGCTTGTCATTTCCAGAAAGTTTGTTATATTTAAGTTCAGTTTCTTTTCCTGCTCTTCCTGTTCTTCAGGAATATCAACTTTATACTCCCAAGACCTCTTAATTCTTTCAACAATTACCCTTCTCACTGCTTTAACTTGGCTGCCAGGATCAGCTTCGTATTCACCATTTCTAATGGAGTCCTCCTTTCTTTAGTCTTTATTGTCTTTCATGTCTCTGCTAACCACTGAAGGCTCATTTATTCCTCCACCATTGTGCTTTATTATCTTATTTTGAGCTGCTATGGGTGTGCTTTTATTGAAGCTGTCTCTAAGTTATTGGAGTGTGAAGAACTTTCCATATGAGTATATTTTATTTACCTTAAAATGTTTATTCTAATGTAAATTCTTAATCAACTTTCAGATTCCTTTCCCTCACATTCTGATGCCATTTGTGGTAAAGGAACATCAGAACCAAGTCTATGCAAAGTCCCCAAAGAAGTTATTCTTGTAATTATACGTTGTGCAGATTGTGTGCAGAAAAGTCAGTGATCAGCTGCCCGAGGGGTCTTTC